GCAGGAAAAAATAACCTGAGGAAAATAAAGCAAGACAAAAAAATTGAAAACAACAAAAGCTCCGGAGGTTCTTTCTTGGCATTACTGGGAATGGAGGGTGATCTAACACAACGCTTCGAGGAAAACATCGTCTAAAAAAATGCAACAAATCAAATGAACAGAAGTCATCTCATGGTAAAGAGCTGATAACGCTTGTGTTTGTTTATGCCCCCTCCCCACTTCCCACTTCCCCTGCAAGAACACCTATAAAACAGTAAAAGCAATAGGAATACTGAGCAGCAGGTCACAGTGCACAACAGAGCACACCCAGACTGGCACAACTCAGAATGGCGATGCTGGGGGAGGGTGGGAGGGATGCTCATTTTAACTATAATTCTGGGAACAGTCAATAACTTGGGAGAGGGGAAGGGAAAGGGAGAGGGAGAGGGAGCAGAGATCTAAAAAGGGGGGTGGGGAAAAGGCATAAATAAAATAACATAAAATATACATCAATGTAGCCTGTGAAGAACTTCAGAGATGGACTCACAATGAACAAGAAATCGTTCTGGAGAGACAAAGACAATCTTGAATGACAATGGGGGGGAAAAATACAGAAATGAAGTGAAAAAATGATGTGTTGTTTGACCAATGGAATAAAATAAAATAGGTCACATGATTAGATGTCATTGGTGCTTCCTAGAATCTAGTAGCAGATTGTTTCCCAAAAACAACAAAAAAAGTTTTTGGTCCTTCTATATATATATGTATATATATATATATATGTATATATATATATATAATTTTTAGTTGCAACAGTGCTTCTCCGAAAAAAGGTCCATCTATAAATATAATTTTATTTCTTTTTATTTTTAAATTTTTAAAATTTTTATTTTAAAATTCTCCATCTCACTCTATGTATTATTTTTTGAATGGCGTTAACCTGCTGAAGTTTTGCCAGAATGGTGACTGACTGCGTTTGGGTTCGGTGAATTCGAAGACCTGGGACTGGGATATGCCATCTGTCACCATGTATTGTCCCTGATTTAATGGATCCTGGGGTGGCGGGTAGGCTGGAGGAACCGACCTGGAGTAGCTGACACCTGCATCGACGGTTGGGGGGAAAAGAAAGAGGTCAGTCAGAGTGCAGCTGGGTCAAAAGTCTTACTCATGCTATATATTTTTTATAACTCTAAAAACCAAGGCCCCAAACAATGGGGACATATGCAAGAAAAAGCAGTTTTAGGGAAGAAAACAGCAACTGTCCTAAACTCTCACCTCAAATGCCACCTAAATCAGACAACTAGTTGGAGATCTGAAAAAGGTCAGTTACTTTGGCTTTCCTTATGGACAAGTTCTATGCTATGAAATTGGGATGAAACATAAAAATGGGAAGGATCTCTTGTGTTATCGAGTCCATAAGCACATTTATAAGTTTATTAAGCTCCTTCTTAGTGCTCATTAGGTTTTTTTCCCCCACTATTCCTATTGGAGGGCTGTTCCAGAACCTCCTTCCCTTGATGGTTAAAAATCAAGGGCAAAAAGCTCCACAGAACCATTAAATAGGGTTTTCTTGAAATGGGCAAATAGAACTGAATAGCAATAGAGATGTTGCACTGTAGGGAACTGTATGTTTTCTACTGAAGCCCGTTTGCTGGTTTAAAAAGCCCATAGACAGGAGGCTGTTGCTTTCTTTGGTACAGTTTGTAGGACTTTTCCAGAAGGTTTGCCTTAAATTTAACAGCTTGATTTCATCTCAATACGGAAGGGATATAATGCCATTGATGGGCTCTTTCTGGTCAACCCAAACCTGGGAATAGTGGGTATCTCACAAGGCAGAATGTTCTTGTTAAAAGCCAGTGCAAAGTGTTTCAAAGAAGCAAAGAAGTCACTCTTGTGACTGGGGTATGGGAGTGAGAAGGTCTATTAATGGTGCTGTACATGTAACACCCTGTAGCACTGTGACGTAACATGGAGTGAACCAGGACCATTGAGAGTCAGATAGCCCCTCCTCTGCATGCACCAGGGGTTGTGAGGGGTGCTGTCTTTCAGACACCTTCACTGAATGCGAAGAAGGTGTTCTCCGGAGTTAGAACCTAGATTCACGGTCATGAGGAGGTAAAGAAGGGGTGCCCTGAGTCACTGAGGTTGGAACTGAAGAGATGTGCAGCACTACTATATTAAAGAGTATCAGGCAAAGGTAGTATAGCTATTTGCTGTATTTCCCTTCCGGCGATGCCATCCACGAAGCATAACCCCTCTTTAAGCACAGTCCTTAAGCAAGGTGAGCAGACAGAACCCCCATAAGCAAGAAAGTGTAGGCTGGAGGGCTTTGAAGTAGGTGCAGTGAGGTCTTCTTGCCTTCTGTGGATCCCTTCAGCTGGATGCAGAACTCGTTATTCAGTTTGTGAGTAGGGCAGGCACCTCCCCCCTGAATAAAGATGGCCAAGACCTGCAAAGGGAATAAACCTCATGGAGATGTTCACCCTTGGTTTTTCACTGAAGAAGGGCGTGATCCAGCCCGTGCAGTTCAATGTGTGGGATTATGGGTCTTCTGCAGGAGTCCTACACCTTCCCAGTACGTTCTTAGATACTTAAGCAGACTCATTTCACAAATTTCTAATGTTGCTGTTAGTACCCACCCCAAAGACACAAATCTGGGAAAGATGTCTGCGCATTAGAATGCTACTTCTAGGGAGTCTTTATTACAGGGATGGGCTAAACACTTAAAGGTTTTGGCATCAGGATTCGTTAAAGACCACAGGCCAGATCCCATTCTCCAATTAGATTGCTCAGGCAGCTCAAAACTGTCCTAACCTAACATCTGATTATTCTTGTCACATCTACTTGGTGCAGAACCCAGCAGGCCAGCTCTTTACAAACTCTTGTTGGCTTGTTTGATGTAGTGGGCCAAAATGGGACATAACTTGCCTTGTGTAACTCATTGCCAGAAGACGTTGCTGAACCTGACAAGTGAACGAGGTTCAAAAGGACTAGACAAATCCCTGCAGGATGTGTCCATCAGTGGGTATTAGATATTATAGTTCTGGGTGCAAGCTCCAAATTAGGACTTCTTAGGCCTCTACAGGCTCGAGGCTTTAAGGGAAGAGAAGCAGCAGGCAGATCGGTCTGAATATGTCCTGCATAATAAATACTCTTTAATTTAGCATCTATTCGGTGTTACTGTTAGATACTGGATGCTGAGTTAGCTAGACCTGTGGTCTGGCCCACTATGGCATCTCATATATTTTATACCTATGTTTTTATGACAGGGAAAGTATGGTGGCCACATCATGTTGCATTCAAAGGGCCATGACAGTTTGCTATTCTAGAGAAGAAGCCTTGAGATTGCTCTAATTTAAATGAAGCACTTGGGGGTCAAAGAGGCTTCTGTTGTGAGTTTTACGATGTGACATTAGCTGATAGCTGGGAATGCCAGAGCTTTTCTTGACTGGTATATGGGTGTTCCTGGCCAAAGTGAACTATCAGAAATGGGGGAGGAAACTCCACTTATTTTCAGAACCTCAGAAAAAGAACAGTTCTCCAAATGAACAAGGAACTGATATATTTGTATCTGAACCAACTGCTTTGCTCCCTCATGAGAACCTCAAGCAGTTGTGCAAGATTCTCTCTCTAGGGATTTTTTTTAATATGCAAAACCATAACTCCCCTGCAATTCATCTGAACAAATGAGCAAAGCTCTTTTCCAACAGAGAAAGCTGTAATCTCTGACTGCCTTAGCGAACAGAATTCAAAATGCAAAGTTGGGGAGGAGGGAGAGGAGGAGAATCGATAGATAAGAAAAGATTTCCAGGCACAGCTGTTGTGCTGCTTTTCCCAGGCGCAGGGAACCAGTTATACACCACGATCAGAACTGGAGCTCCTTCTGCTGGTTCATGCATAATTCTGCACCACACACAGGTTGCAGCTGCAGAGAGATTGTTCAGTATGACTGGAATTGGGGGGGATTCTGTACGGCATGAGCAAAAGAAAAGCTTAGGACAGAAACAATGGGGAGAAAAGGATGCGCTATCAGCTGAAACAGAGCAGTACTTCAGCGTCCAGCAATGTCAGTTCAAATCATTTGGATTTCTCAGCACAGAAACAAATTTAAAGGGATTTAAACCCATTTCTACTTTTCTTCCTAACTTCTACAGAAAGAAATATCTCCCTGGGATTGGAAGAATTAGGAGAGAGCAGTAACTATCCAATGTCTCTCTGTGTTTATTCCATTCTCACCCCTTAAGGATTTCTCCCATGCCTTGATAAGTAGCTGTTTCATGGTTCTTATCTTTGCACTTCCATCTAGATACTGTGCTGTCCATTAGCTAGCTTTAAACGATGGGTGGTGAGATGTAAGTGCCTTCTATTCCTCTAGGGGCTGAAACTGTGACAGTGCTGGGGAGTGGAGAAGGTGCTAGGTTAGGAGCCCTCATTTATTATTGGTCTTGGGGTTAACTGAGGGAACACACTTCCTAGGAGGCACACAGCCTCACAAGTTTACCTTCCTACATGCATAATGTGTTTCTGTGGAGTGCTAGGGAGTGTGCTCCATTCAAGTATGAATCTCTGTGTGGGTACACATCCAGAGAATAATGACACAATTCAGTTAAAGGGAGAAGTAGGTGCAGCTGTGGGTGACCTTTGGCCTCTTCTGAGCACATTTTCACAGCGGCTCTCAAAACACGACACAATTTTTCATTTATTTTCTCTCATGTTTCGAGTGGTCAACATCTGGCTCTCAAACTGCCCAAGAGCAAGTTTGTGATTTCCTGAGAAATTAATGGCATGTTTGCCACTGTCCAACAAAAATCTTCTGTTTTGTTGCCAGTTACTGAACTGTTTTGTTTTTTCCCCAATATTTTAGTTACAAAACTAGCACAGGTCTTGTTTCTGCTCTCAGGTAGGGTAGACATTACTTTCATAGATACAGATGCAAGTAACAAGTGATGAGCAAAAGTCTTTATCTGCCCAAGGAGATTGCCATTACTTTGCCATGCTCACCCAGCTTGAGGTTCCGCATTAATGCAGCACAGAGCAGAGGACTTCACTTCACTTCACTTGCTTGTAGAGTTTGGTCTTATTAGAAATGCTACATAGGAATAGGAATCCTATGCGAATCCTAGCTCCCTTCTCTACCCATTAGACAAAACTTTTTTATTTTGTAGGATGAAGAAGGGAAAAGAGTTAGTTGCTATCATTCTAGGCTCCTGCTTGAGAAAGGTAAGAGTCCATCAGCTACTCTATAATCAGTTCTCCAGCAGTCTCTACACAGGGCAAGGCAATTCTACCTTCTGTACAAATGAGTCCATTACTGCAAACTAACATCAAGAGACTTTAGCACTGAAACAATGAGTAATACTTTACCTGCCTTATCAGACAAAGCCAGGTAAAGATCGTATTATCCAAGTACTTACAATTACATAACTCCTCATCCTTAAGTAGTTTATAAAGTGCTGTACCGAGATTAACCACTTTATTGAGTTACACAAATTACTTCACTCGTCGATTTACTGACATACAGCCATTTAGGGGTGGGGTGAAACGTGGAAGCTCTATAAAAGCACACAGCAACTGTACATGACACTTTAGGACAAAAAAGGAAGAAAAATGCTATATCTAGATGACATGGCAGGGAGTATGTAAGCTGACAGCATAACCCTGCTTGAAGTCATCACGTGAAACTAAACATTTTAATTCCTTAAACAGTACTCTGAGATCCCTGAGGAACATAAGAGGTCAGTTTTGTATCTCAGCCAAAAGATGGTTCTCCCTGTACCCTGTTGGAGCATTTGTTTAAAAATGGCTTGGAAGAAAGACCACTTCTCCCTAACACAGAGGTACTATTGCCACATGCTTGTGCACATAGGTATTCTTGGAGGTCTCCTCTCCAGGTATTTATTTTACCCACCCTTTCTTAGTTTGTGAAATCTAATCAAATATATAGAACCAAAGCTGCTGACTCGAATTGGATCCATAATTACAATGAGTAGTGAGGAGCCAGTTACATCTATATTATGAAAATCCTAATCAAAATCAATACTTTTGGATCAGAAACACTGATAAATGGTCAGGGCAAATTCCAGATTATCATTGCATAGTC